CAATGGCGTGTGTTTTCCTCTTCACTCAGAACAGTCAGAAAGTTCAGGAAGTCAGATTTATTCTGTTGTCATTTTTTTAGGTAAGTTGCATTTCTTATTTATATATAATTAGAGTTGCAGATGAACTTAATTTTCAAACAGATAAAATAGCTTTGCTGTGGTGTTCACACCTTGTACTTAGACGCCCCAGTAAGCACTTAAAGACTTTTTCCAGCCTGAATATTTTACAGTATTAGATATACTTACATATCTTAAAATGCATGAAGAGCTGAAAAAGTAGAAAGAAATTAATGACCATTAAGTTACTGAATGAATAGACTTTGTCAAGGAGGTAGAGCAATGGTAAGACCAGAGAAAAACTGTGTAGTTTGGATCAGAGGGCAGCCATTTGTCAGGTGTTGATGAACGAAATAAATACCTGAGTAGAGGTGAAAATTCAGTGTTCAGGTGAAGAAAAACTCAGATTTTCTGGCCACGTGATTCTATGGGACTAGCAGTTTAGATGAAACATCTTTCTTTGTTACCCAGCCTGCAAATAGGTGATGTGGAATTGCCATTATGCTGTTAAACTACAACTAATTTTAACTTCTTAAACAGGTGTAAACTTGGCAGCTTTTATCATCATTGTGTTTTCCTATGGGAGTATGTTCTACAGTGTTCACCAAACAGCTATTACAGCTACTGAAATTCGGAATCATATTAAAAAAGAGATGATCCTTGCTAAACGTTTTTTCTTCATTGTATTTACTGATGCATTGTGTTGGATACCCATTTTTATTTTGAAACTCCTTTCTTTACTCCAAGTAGAAATACCAGGTATGTCCTTTTTTTTTGTGATGCTGTTTCAACTGTGCCTGCATGAAGAGTGTTGTTTCTACTTCAGAAGAAAATGAATTGAATATATTGAACTATATTACTATAATGAACTTTGTTATATATCTATACATATTTACACACAATATAATGGCCTATATAGTTGTACTTCTGAATTGAACTATATTACTATAATCATCAAAGATTAGTTACCTTTGAGTCAGCCAAAAAAAAAAAAAATGCAAATCATTCAAGTCTGTCTCCATAGAACACCTATAAATTGTACAAAGTGTATTTGAAACCCAAGGCTGAATTGCATTGGCTTTTTTCATCTTATAGCTATGCCAGTTCTGTTGCCTAAATATGGTTCAGGACAATGCAGTGTTTCCTATCTTGATTTAACAATATAATTGTTATCCTGAAAAAACTTTCTTTTACAAACTGGTATTTATAGTTCAAAACATCAAGTGTTATATAAAGCTCTGCTTACCTTCTTTATGCTATGAATATATTCCCATGTAAAAATAACGGAACCTAAAAGATCAAAAATTTCAGCTTATTTTTTTTTCTTCTCTTTGCAATGCCAGTACCCACCGGAAATAGAATATCTTTAAATAGGACTTGTAATCCCTGTTAGAAAGAACATGTGAACATGAACAGTACCATCAGCAATCATGGATTCAGACTCAACATACAGCTATCTGTCACATTACTATGTTGGTGAGAAAACATTTTGGCCCAGAGGACTCTGGCCTATGTGCTGACCAGGAACATTGGGAGTCACCGTTCCAAAGTTTTGACTTAGGTTTCAAATGTCTGGAAGTTGCATTGATTATGCCAAATGTTTTCAGTTATTTTAAATCTTCTAAAATGCTTCTTTGTGAAGTTATCAAACCACCTAAGAAATTTTAAAGAGAATACTGTGAAAAGTAGAAGCAGATGTATTCTGAGTCAAGAAATCTTGAAGAAAGGTTGCGGAACCGCAGGATAATCATGGGTTCAGCAAATTAATGTTCCGCATTAGATAAACCAGAGTAAACACTAATTACTCTTTTCATAAAATTAAAGACATCACAGGTCATTGTCTAAGTTCAGGGGAGGTTTAAACACCATTTGGTAGCATTTCTCTTTCTTTGGGGATACATTGTCACAGCTTCCCAACTAGACATCTGCTAGTTTCCAAAACTGTAGCCAAGGTGATGAGCGTCAGTAGGGATGTATTGATCTTGCAACACAGTTGTAAAGCCAGAGAAGCAAGGGGAAAGGGGAGAGCGAATTAAGCTTTTTATGCAGCTTGGGACAATTCTGTAATTGTTTTGTTAATCAAACAATGCAATGGAGGGCACCCACTGACATCTTTCGGCACTTTAATACCGTCCCTTCTCTGTCTGCCCCTGAGGTAACTTATCTCCCAAACAGCGAGGGTGAGAAGGGGGTGCTGTAAAAATGCACCCAGGCTCTGACATAAGCAGGAGGGCAGGAAACCTTCAGAAAGGCAGATGGCACGAACACAGAAACTCTTACCAACAGGGCAAGAAGGAAGTAAGGAGGATGTATGGAATGCCCTTTGCAGGGGGGAAGAATGGAGAGGTGCAGAGGAGAAAGCCAGCCTCTGAGGGGGTACAGGGACTGGAGAATACTGCTTTGCAGGAGGACAGGACGTCAGGGGCATCGCTAGGATTGCGTGTCACTAGTCGTGGGAACAGAGATCACGGGAACAGATAGGGAGCAAAGCTGAGACAAAAAGTTTCAGGGCAAGAAAGTGGGGTTCAGGTGGACCAAGAAGTGTGCCAGGGCAAATAGGGAGCTACGGTACAGAAAAGTAAGAGGGATAAATGGAACTACTGGGAGAGTAAAAAAGTTAGGTTTTCCAGGGAGTCCTGGAAACAGAGGGGGAGGCAAGAGAGCAGTGCAAACCGAACAGTGAGAAGAAGAAGTACCTGTTGTGTCATCAACACAGCCTAGGAGCACAGGACCAACCCTCTCACCAAGAAGCTGTGCTGCATAGGCAGCAAGTGCTTGCATTATTTAATGGGTACAAATGCAAGGAATGCATATTGTATTACAGCTTCTTCTCTTTTTCCCTCCCTAAGGTACCATAACTTCTTGGGTGGTGATTTTTATACTGCCGATAAATAGTGCTTTGAATCCTCTTCTCTACACTTTGACAACACGACCTTTCAAGGAAATGATTCATCAGGTTTGGTATAATTACAGACAAAGAAGATCCAAGAGGGGTAAAGGCAGTCAGAAAACATACGGCCCGTCATTTATTTGGGTAGAGATGTGGCCAATGCACGAAATCACGCCAAAGGTAACGAAGCCTGTGCTCTGTACAGACTCCTCGGACACTTCGGTGACCACACAGTCAACCAGACTAAATTCATACATGTAAATACATTTGAAATCTTCACGGTGACATCTGCACTGTTAGCCTCACTTCTGTGGTCTTGCTGCTTTACAGCACTGAGGGAGGTAGGACACCTGGGCTCACGTGAACCGCAGCAGGAAGAAGGGGGAGCAGTGTGTCTGTCTGCAGGTAGAACTGACCCAACAATAATTTTTGCCATCTCGCAACGCTACCTGACATTCTCACAAGTCCTCCCAGAGCAGAATGAGAAGTCAGTTGTTTGGTTTTTTCCTCCCAGAAGCCAGGAATGTGGGGAAAAAAAAAAAAAAAAAAAAAAAAGCAACTGTCATTTAAAACATCTCACACTGAAAGCAGAATGTTTCAAAATCATCTATTGTGAGAGAAAAAACAAAACGGTTATGTTCTTTTTTTTTTTTTTAAATACCCCAACAGCTGAATTTTTTTTTAAGTGTTGATTGGTTTCCTCACCAATTTTTTTTTTTTTTCCTTCTCAAAATTTCTGACTGGCTCTATTTAGGCTGCATCAGCTCTTAAAAGCGTTAGGGAGCCACAGCCCTAAGAAAAATATTTAAATTTCATTATTAGACCAGTTTATTATATTTGTCAAAGCCAAACAAGTGAAAATTTTACTCCTTTTAAAAATTTACCAACTATTTAATCCATGTAAAGACAGTCCTGATATTGTAATGACCGTTCTAATTCAGGCAGAACCAGAACTGTGGGGAAGAAAAAAAGAAAAGAAAGGGGCTTTTCTTAACTGAGTGTCCCCCAGCTATAGCTGGTACAAGTTTCCCCCTTCAGAAGATCATCCTTCCCTGGAAAGACTGGACTGAGTATCCCAACATCCTGATGCTGCTCTCTTCCTCACTGTTCCTTAACAGGCTGCCACAAGTAGCTCCCCACATCTGGCAGACTTCAGCAAATTCCTGTCTTAAGGTGTCTATCTCTGTCCACAGACTAATGGGAGGTGGCCAAATAGAAGACTGTCAGTCTTCATAGGTGTCATGACATCTACATTTTAATCCCCTTGTACATCTGAGTGGGTGCATTATAGTTAAAATAATTTAAGGACTACAACCATTCAGAACTTTCTGGGGCATTATTTTACTTCCTAGCATTACAAGGGTAAAAAAAAAAAAAAAAAAAAAAAAAAATCTGAAACAATCCTCTCAAGGCAGTTCTTTCGCATATACCTACTGAAGGGAATCTTTTCCATCACAAATTGCTATGACTTCCCTCCTTCCTTCAGTACTGTGCTCACAGTCTGATAGCCTAGGAGCCCACAAAGGTAAAAGATATGTTTCTCTTTGCATTGATGATTTGAAGCTTTTAAAAATTAAGTTAAAAGGTACTTCTAATGTTTGCACTTAACTTCTTAACAGCCTAAGAAGTAGAATTAAAAAAAGTGTGACTCACACTTCAGCTGTTTACAGAACTTTGGATTATCTTGAAATCAAAGATTGTTAAGCATCTTGTTTCCACTACTGTATGTTTTATTGAAATAAAATATTATCTGCTGAACAAAACGACTCCTTTCCCAAGTTGCTTAGCAACATTTTGGGTTGTGGGGTTAAAAACAGCTAAGTGACAATCCTGCCACGCAGATTACCTTTAACTGAGGCAATTAGAACTCAATTTATTGGAACTTGCGTACCCTGGAGGGGCGCCAAGCCTTCTCAATGACCGTATCTGCTTTTGATGAGATATGCAAGGATATCTGTCTTTACCACTACTTCCGTTTTTCACTTAACTATACAGATTATGGGCATAGTCAATATAATCTCTGCTTCTAAAAGTAACACAAGAATATTCATTATTTCAGATTTTTTTGTAGCATCTTTATTGATTTGATAAGAAAACTACAGTTTGCCTTTTAAAAAGTCCTTCTACCAGTAAAAAATAAGGCTGACTAATAAATCATGTTAGGGTCACATTCTCCTGCAGCCTGCCATTGCATTTCAGCATTACTTTTTTCACAGTGTTCTGGTAAAGGTACAAGAGTTTCAGTACAGCTATTTACTACAGATTAGTGATCTTTCAGACCAAAAGGTTCTGTTAACAGTAAGCTCTAGACTAACTAACTAGTAACTGCTTAAGGCAAAGATAAAAAAATAGGAGCAAATACTGAAAAATCTCTAATGTGCTTCCTGAGAGAAGGGAGAATACATTTCACAGCTTCTTTTCTAATTGATGGAAGCTTTTACTTATAATTCAAAATAATCCATCCTATCAGTAAACAATGCTGTTAAACTTCTACCATGCAGAGATCTATGGTCCAACATAAGGCACTTTATTACAACAAAAGATAGTGTAAAATTGTTGGCAGTAATCAAACATTTTGCAAAAAATCTGCACTGTTATAGAAATATATTGCAATATTGCTAAAAATAGTAAGGTTTGGGATACATGGCTTATGTAAAGCTTGTAAATAAGCCACGACTTGCCATATTATCCCATGCTCAATATGAAAAAAAGGCGTGCATAGAGAAAAAACTGAAGTATGTTCAGCAACTTTCTCTGGAGTTGGCAGGGTTTCTGCTGGTGACTGCTCTTAAAAAGGCGGGCTGATGATACCTCCTCGCAGGACACCACTTCCCCATCAGTAATGAGTTCTGGACATACCATGCATACTTAACCTAGCATCCACCACGTTGGCAAAATAAAAAAAAAAAAAAAATAAAGGCAGAGTATTTCAGGTACAAGATGACCTGAGCTGCAATGGAAGAGTCTAAAAGTTGTAACCAATTCCCTAAACAAAGTTATTTTACTCGGTGACTTACACACAGCAGCCATACGAGCCATCAGGTGATACTGAAAGAACTTCGGGCTCACGGCGAGCTGCTAAGGGAAAACAAAAATCCGCGTGGACTCCCTAAAGGACGACGTTTTAAAAAGCCCCCACGTCGCAGTCGGACAGGAGCGGGCCGCGGCGGGGGCAGGGTCAGCCGCTGGGCTTCAGGGCCTCGTAGCCCTCCCTCAGCAGGTCCCGCCACGTTCTGAGGAACCGGGCGTTCTCCGAGCACTTGGTGGCGAGCTCCTCCACCTGGGCCGACACGGCCGACGTCGCCTCCAGGATCTTCGCCAGCGAGAAGGCGGCCTGGAGGAACGGGAGGAAGGTTGGGGGCCGCCGACCGGCCCGGCCCGCCCCGCCCCGGCGCCATTCGTGAGGGGAGCCCCGCCCGCCCGCCCGCCCGCCGCGCCGGCACTCACGTCGCCGATCTGCATCTCCACCTCCTCCAGCAGCTCCCGCGTGTCGCCGGCCGGCAGCTCCGGCGGCCGTGACCCCTCGCTCCCGCCGCGGACCCTCCGGGACCCGGCGCCGGGCGAGTCCCCGGGAACGGCCGCGGGCGACAGCGACTCCGCCTCCGCCATGTCCCGCTCCGGCCACCGGGCCCCGCCTCCCGCCCGAGCTCCGCCCCCGGAGCGCACGGCCGCTGGGGCCGCGCTGCCCGCCGGGAGTGGTAGTCTCTCCTGCCGCTGTGGCGGGCGGCCCCGGACCGGGGCGGCACGCCGCGGGGGGGGGGGGGGTAGTGGGGGTGAGGTGGTCACCCTGCCCACCCCCGCTTCCTCCGAGCGTCTCCCGCTCCAATACCGGAGGAGCGAAACGGTTCGTCCTGGCTCCGGCGGCTGTCCCGTGAGGGGAGGCTGGGCTGGGCCTCGCCGCCGGGAACTCTGGGAGCTGTAGTCCTTGCCGGCGGGGCGGGGCCGGCGCCTTGCCGCCGGCACCCGAGTGCGCAGGCGCAGGGTGGTCGGGGGTGGAAGGCGGGGGGGCGGTCGCGGGCTGCCGCCATGCTGCTCGCTCGCTGCCCGTCCTCCGGCCGAGGTAAGGCGGTGGCTCGATCCGGGGGCGGCTGGCCCTCCCGAGGCGGGGATGGCGCTGGGGCTGCCGCCGCTCGGCGGGGCGGGGCGGGGCGGGGCGGGGACGACGGTTGGCACGGCGCGAAGGAGAGCAAAGGTCGCGCCCGGGTGTCCGGGCGGCCGCCGGGCCGGGCCGGCCCCGGGGATCCTGCGGCCCCGGGTGCCCCCGCCCCAGCGGGTCTGCCCGCCTGAGGGGGCTCCCTGCGCCGCCTCCTGGTCCTGTTGGGCACGAAGAGCGTAAAGCTTTGGTTTGGTTCTTTTTTTTTTTTTTTTTTTTGTGGCGATACGAGGCGTTACCTGTTTTACAGGATAAAATGAAGCGATTGAACGCACGCCCGTACTGGCGAAATAACCGTAGAGACAACGTCCCGACAGCGGCTCTTAAAGAGCTGTGTGGGGGGGTAAAGTTTCTTCTTAGGGGTTGCTTTCCCCGCGCAGACGCCTCACGTCGCGCCACCGAGGCCGTGAGCCCTCAGTAGCGAGGCAGCACAAGCTCACTGGCGGGAACCTGTAGTTATCAGACCTGTTCTGAGCCGAGTTTCACTTATTTTTGTATGTGTGTGTGAAATAATTGGCGTCTTTTAAACTGTACTATGTAATTCGTAGTACCGTCGGGTCTGCTCAGATAGAAACATCTCAAAAGTTTAGGTGTCATGTCTTAATGTACATACCTAGGTGTACTTGTTATTGTGCTTATAAAATACATTGCTTGTTCTCAGATCCTGCCTGGTGGCAGGTAAAGGATAACTAAGAGTCATGAGGTGGTATAATAATAGCTTTTATGTTATGTCGGTTTAAGTACAAGATTGCTGTTAGGAAACCAACATAGATAATACTTACCACCTTGCAAATAGAGACTGGTATCCTGACTGTCACTGGGCAGAGTTAGAAGGGGGGGTGTTTGTGCTGGCCTTGCCGGTCACCAGTCACAATAAAACATTTCAGTCATAGAATGTTGGTGATTTTACTTACGTAGTTTTGCAGAAATACTCTACTTCAAATACAATATTCTCCTGATTCACCCCTGCAATTAGAGAAAGGAAATCCTTAAACGAAGGAAAAATACCTGTCAAGGTACATTAGTTCACAGACATTTTAACTGTAACTAGTTTTGGTGCGAACCATACTAGTTTTCCAAGTTCAGATTGCACACATCATCATCATTTTTTTGTCAAAGAGGAAAATCAGAAGAATGCGACATATATAATAGCCCTGCTGAACAGAGACCTATTTTGATAATTTTAAACTTTCATTTGGTCCATTTGCTTAAAAAAAATTTAATTTTTTCTTGCAGCTATTAATGTATCTGCTGCAAAGGTAAAGATTAATTGTATCTACTGTTCCTGTCTTTGGCTAAAATATACTTAGGTCTGAGCTTTTACTGTAGACTGTGACATTTACTGTAGATGAACTGTCTAGTATTAGTAGCCCAAACTGTGTGTCTCAACACATGTTGAAATGTCAGAAGAGATGAACTTGCATGTCCTATTTCTACAGTTCTTTGGTTATTTTTAATGAAGTCTGAGATAAATTTTTTGAAGTTCAAAATTAAATAGGAACTTAAAATGTGTTTTACCTCTGTATATTCATGTTATTCTATGTAAGCTGTGAGAAATAGCTGGCCAGTGTATTGAGTGGTATTATGTGAAGGATGCTTAAAGGGGAAGCTCTTTACTCTTTTCTTTCTCCCTTTTTTTTTTTTTTTTTTTTTCTGCTGATATAAAATTATACAGTGCATTCCTAACTTGGAAATTTAAAAATCTGTGTTTGTGGTTCCTCATCTTCACATCGCCTGGTAGCTGCGGGGTGGGGGGAAAGCTGTCATGTTTGTTGTGCCACTTGTGTCTCTGAAAAGTTGAAAAAATTGGAAAAAGACTGCTTTGACAAATTTGTTTCTGTTTTTGCAGCACGTCAGTGCTTTCATGCTCTAAAGTTGATAAAGAGAGACTGCCTTCCACCACTGCATATCCCAAGATGTGCATCTACAGCCTCTGTGCCTCGCATCACTACACATTATACAATTCATCCTCGGGACAAAGACAAACGATGGGAAGGTAAGCGAAAAAATGTGTTCTTTGAAAGCTTCTTCGTTATTATTGTTGGTCAGTTTTAAAGACATTGAAATGTGTTGCTGGTTTTTCCTTTTAACAGAAATTCTGTACTCTTAAAATAGAGTACTAATATTCCAAATGAAATTTTGTGGTTCCTATCTCACAATGAGGGCTTTTAGTGCTATAAAATGGGATCAGCTTAAACTTGATCCTAGCTATTTAATGAAAATATTTAATCAGCTTTTGCTTTGGTGACTATCAGAACAAGATTTAATTGTCAGGTATGTATCTGTTGGATTTTTTTCAGTTGTTCTTACCATGAGAGTTTCTGAGAGAATAAGATTAATATATATCTCTGAGCATTCTAGCCTCTACATTCAGCAATTTTAATGGATTCAATTCCAGAAAAGACACTGATTAATTAATGTAAAACGAAGTCACGTGTTCTGACTAAAGGTGTTTTTTCTTTTATTTCTCCCTTACCTAGAGTTTTACTGAGTGTCTTTGATACAGCTCGCCAGCTGGGCTCTTAAGTTTAACATTCTAAGATGATACTTAAGAGACTGAGTTTATGTTTTTATGGTATATCTTCTTACAATTTAAAAAGAGCTAATTTTACATGGAGATGCTAATATCCCTCTGCACTCTTCCAAGTACTGAAGTGGGGATTCTGTTAAATATTTAGCCTCCTTTTACATGGGGTAATACCACTGTGATACCCAGTAGCCAGTATTACAGAGCAATCTTTAGTGAGAGAGAGGCTGGGAGAAATTGAGGATTGATTTATCTTAATATCTTTTTTTCTATTAAAGGGGTAAACATGGAAAGATTTGCAGAGGAAGCTGATGTTGTGATCGTTGGAGCAGGCCCTGCAGGTCTTTCTGCAGCTATTCGACTCAAACAGTTAGCTGCTGAGCATAGCAAAGAAATACGTGTTTGCCTGGTGGAAAAGGCATCTCAGATTGGTGCACATACACTGTCTGGTGCTTGCCTTGAGCCAAGGGCCTTAGAAGAACTCTTTCCAGACTGGAAGGAGCGGGGGGTATGTATGAGCATATAAACACTGAAATTAATCGCTAGCTTGTAATGAGCTCCATATCTGACTAACTCTGAGATGACTTAGTACCTTGGTACCATTGGTATTTAGTACCATTTTAAAATATGTTGATCTAACAAAACAAAAAAGCTCGTACCTTCTTTTCAGTCTGTTTCCTCTAGTTTAACAGTGCTAAAGTTCTGTACCTACACAGATGTGCCATGGCCTTCACAGTTCTATATGGTAGTCTTCCTGCATGTATGCAGGATGTCTGGGGCGTCCTGGGATGCACTACACTTACTGCATTTGTGCAGAACCCAGCTCCTCTGCACAAGCAATAAGGTGGTTGATTCTTAGCAACGTCAGACTTGTTGCTTCTCTGCAGTAGTTCTTCATAGTCTCAGGAAATGGCACCTAGTACACTGATTCTTGTGCAGGTGGAGTGGTGTGATGGAGGCATAAGATGCTTTTAGGTGGGAGGACAGCAAGAAATGAGCTGTCATCTCTGCCAGAACAGCCATCTGACTTGTAGCCAGCTGCCTGCTGTCACCTGGGATAAAAGAAGTGGGCCATTGACTAGTTGTTTTATCTTGCTGGGATAAATGTGCAAGTTGAGCTGCAGTTTTTAGAAGAGTCTAGAATATTGATGTAATACAAGCCTGTGTGCAAACTACAGAAGTGATTTGCAAGGCCCTGTTCCACTGGGTTTTATATCAACAGCTGTGTTGATTCTTACCTGATGACTGCCTCACGAAGTACTTTATCTTCTCTCTTGTGATACCTTCCTACAGAAGTGCTTTATTAAACCCTTACCTAACTGCCAGTTTTATTTTATTCTGTTTTAGTTTTTGTTGGTTTTGTTGGATTGTCTAGAAAAACATAACTCTCACTACTGTTTCTATTTTCTTTTTTTATATAGGCTCCTCTTAATACTCCTGTAACTGAAGACAAGTTTGGAATTTTAACGAAGAAATCTAGAATTCCAGTGCCAATTCTTCCAGGTAAAGTTTAGTGAGGTGATAGAGAGTCATACTTCTTTGTGTCTTTTTCAACTTTTCCATGAATCAAACAATTTTGTTTCAGTGTAGTACAGCAAGCGTATGTAGAACGTAATAGCTCATAGTGGTAGGATCTATGTGGATGACATTACTGTCAAGATAGTGGTTGTAGAAGATAAGACATCTGATACATGTAACTTCTGTTATTTTCCTTAGTGTTCTGTGTTTTATGTGTGTGTGTCTTTTTTGCCTAGGACTTCCTATGGTTAATCATGGAAATTACATAGTACGTCTGGGCCACTTTGTGAGTTGGCTTGGTGAACAAGCAGAAGCTTTGGGTGTTGAGGTGTATCCAGGCTATGCAGCAGCTGAGGTAATAATGACATCAGTGTGTATATGAAAAGCTTTTGTTGGAAACACTTTCGCTTCACTCCCAGTTGTTTGTACACTCACAGCATTCCTTTTCACAGAGGTGTATTGTGAAAACTGTGTTTCAGTGTCTAAATTCCCTGCCCCAGATCCAGTAAAGTGCAAGTGGGTCATACAGTATATTAATAAATACATAATCTTCAAGTTTGACCATTAAAAACATAGTGTTTAGAAGTTCTGCATTAGAACTTTTTATGAATGGATTAAAATGACAAATCATTAAAATGATTTTTTTTTTTTTTTGTTCAAATATTTTCAAAGGTTCTTTTTCATGAAGATGGTAGTGTGAAAGGGATAGCAACTAATGATGTAGGCATTCAGAAGGATGGAGCACCTAAAGTAAGTAGCTATCTTCCCCATAACTAAGAGTCTAATTATGGAAATTGTGATATATCTGCTTCTACTACCATCAGTAGTCTTGCTGTAGCCTAAGAAAAAGTGTAAAATTCAGTACCTGTCTTCCCTACCTGTATATAAAAGGGTTCAATTACCTGTGAAAGTGCTGGTCCCTGAAGATTTTAAACTTCTTCTGAGACTAGTAGAAAAAGCCGTTGCGGAAAGGCTGTTGGTTTGAGGGTGACTTGAAGGAAATATTGTGAGTGTGTTTTGGTACATGTGAAGTCAAGAAACAAAGGAAAGCATTCCAGGAACTCCTAGAAAAAATGTGCAAAGGTGAAATAAAAAGCTGTTGTCCAGCTGGTAACAAGCAAGGTGTGAGAGTGTGCTTCTGGCTGATTTGTTTTCTTTGATATTTACAACTGAAGTTGCATTTGTTGACAGTCTGTCTACCTTGTTGGAGCAAAGCACACACTGAATCTTTATACCTTTTTGCTAGCTGGTCACATTTCTGTATCCAGAAGGTGACTCTCTGCCTTAAGTGTCGGACTTTGATTTTTAGTGGAATCCAGAACCTGCAGTGAGCGTGTTGCTTCTCTGCGCAATAGATAGGGAGAATCTGGCATGTCAGAATAACTCAGAACAACATTCACACAGAATTATTTGGCTACATAATTATGGGTACAGGGTTTTTTCTTAAGATTTACTTTCTTTTCTAAGCTTCCTAACTAGTTACATAGAGTTTCAAAGAGGAATTTACTTTCACGTAAAAGCATGGGCTATTTTTCCCAGATAAGGCAGGGAATGAGAAGAAAAGACTCATTCTTGTGTTGAGAGAATAGAGCCAATGATGGAGGAAGCAATGGCAAGGAAAATTGATATATTTTCCCAGTATGATACTGTCTCCTGCAGGGGGTAGGCACACTCTTACTTCCAGGTACACGTGTTCTCCAGCAGAAGGCACACGTAATGCATACAGCTTGCTGCGGCAGTAAAGATTTATTGGGAGTTTGGTTTGTGTTTGTTTTAAAATGGGGAGGAACTATGATTTTATTATGTTTTTTAAAGCATCCTCAAAACCTAGAATTTTTTTCTATTTATGCTGGAAGAATGTATCTTCTTTAATGTACATAATTAGTGTGCCACTATTGCAACTTTTTGACTATTCAAGTGTTTTAGCTGTCAGTTAGGTCAGCTGGTACTACCTCCAGTGTATAAAGGTTCAGGTAAATAGATGTCGTTTGTATAACCTTCAAGGCAAGAATATCTTCAACATGTTTATACAGAGCCTAATCAAACAGACTGTGGTTAATGAGTAGAGTTTCACCTTGCAGTCAGCACCAATCAAACAAAAATGCCAACAGTAAAAAAACATAGTAAAAAGTTGCACATGGATTCTTGTGTAGATGCTGGAGAAGGATGTTAACTGTGAAATATAACTTTGTCACATTATGGAAACCTTTTAAATTAGTGAGTTTCTGATATTTACAATGTGGAGTTTTAGTTAATTGATTTGTTTTATATAAATCTACTTCAAATTGAACAGTATATATTTTTAATCTTTATATCAAGTAGTAAGTCCCTGTAGTTGTCTTAGTATTTTGTAAGATTAATTCATGTTCAGGTTGACAGTCAGAAATTTAAAGAATACACAAAAAAATTGACAAAATCTCGTAACTCCTGTTCAAAGGTAATTTCCAACTAGAGGGAACATTTAATTTGCTAGACTTTTTCAGAGGTTTCCAACCAGTAAGTTACAAGCAGATTGCATCTGAGAGACAAATCAAAACCAAAGCAATAAGCTTCTCCTGGAACTGTGAATTACCTTGTGGTGGTTTTATTGGCTACTTCTGGATATCTTCAAAACTGTTTCCATTATATTTTTCAACATTAAACTTTGACTCAAATCAAGTTTTTTCTTTTTTCTTTTTTTTCCTCGCAAGACTATGTGTATTTAGAATCTTGTGTACTTATATTGCAAATATAATCTATTAATGTTCTCGTCTTTTGTGTTTGCATATGCAGGTGACATGCTCATACACAAGTATGTCAGTTCCCCTTATCTTGCTCTCAATCTGATTGTTGGAATTTTTGATGAGAATTTTTTTTATAATAATACTTATTGTTAGTTTAATTTTACTGTATGTTTTAGCACGTAAGATTGGTGTAATATTATAGTGACTTTATTCTGAGGTAGCGGGTTCTTTTGGCAGCAGGGGTAGTACAGGTTTTTCTGCTCTGGTGTTTCTGTCTAGCCTCTATCATGTGTGCGTGGAGGGGACGCACTATTTTATTGTAATGTGACTTCATGAGCAAAAATTAAAGTGTAAAGTTATAGGCTAAGATTCTTTGTTCTGTCAGGGTTCCTTTGCACCATATGTATGAGCAGATGGGATAGAAGTATCCTCCAGTTTGGGTAAGGTAATTTTTCATTTTTAGTAATGAGTGGCCATTCACTGTAGCGCAGCTTTACTGGAACCCCCTTGCAAGATTTGCCAGGGGTGCATCGTGGTTAGGTGGAAAAGACAACTGGACTAGAGCCATAGCTTGCAATGGTTTGTAGATTCTGGGCAGTGCACAAAGTAGTGTAAAATCACTTTATTGCCCTCCAGTTTCTTGCTGTGAGTTTGGTGTGGCAGACGTTTAACTGCTGATGAAATCCTCTACTTCTGCAGGCTACCTTTGAAAGAGGCTTGGAACTCCATGCTAAAGTCACAGTCTTCGCTGAAGGTTGTCATGGACATCTAGCCAAACAGCTGTACAAAAAATACAATCTAAGGGAGAAATGTCAACCCCAGAGCTATGGCATTGGACTGAAAGAGGTATTACCTGCATAATTTTAACAATTAAAGGAAATGCTGTGAAGCTATAAGGTAGTTTCCATTTGCTTCTAAGCTAATTTGTGTAAGACATTAGAATGGTAGATTTTACACTTTCATACTTGAGAACCTTTGCTTTTCTGAAGTTGATCGGAGGAGATGGTCCCTGAATGTCATGACTGTTTCATTTCAGCTGCTGCTTCTAATATCTGTGTTATATCTAGAGGTACCTCTGAATCCACTCTGATTTGAAATCAAGTTCATTTGTGAAATCTGTTTTCAGTAATTTTACTAAATGAGAGAGGGATTTATGCTGCCTAATTTTATGGGGGTTTAGTACCTGAGGAGGGCAGTCAAGGCCTTCTCACTGGTTTTTCTGTATATTGATTGGAGAGAGAGAGAGACAAGAGCTGATCCAGATGATGGGTCACGGTCTCTGAAACACTTTCTGGATGAACCTTTTTTCCCCAAAAAATTCCTTCACTGCTCTCATAAAACTGGGATAGGGATCAGGTTTCCTTTTAAAAATATTTTATACTTGGGAAATATCAACCATGAAAAAGAGCTGTATTATTTAGAATATGTTCAGAGTTTGACTGTAACATATGTTTTATTTATTACTTTAAACGTGTTTCCAGCTACAAAATATTTGTCAAATAATTAGTTTACACTTCTGTAGAGAATAACCACTCTGTAAATGTATGATATTGCAATTTCTAATACCCAAGTTTTTGTTAAAGCAGGGTTTCGCTGTAGAGTTTCTTTGCTTCTGGACTGTGTCTGCTTTAGCAAATAGTACAGTCCAATAGGAATGGATCTGCAAAGTGAAATAGTTGGTGCTGATGAGCTGATATCCATACTAGCTCATTTCAGGTTTATTTTTACTTTGGACTAGCTCTGATCCATGGTCTGGGTGCCCTTTTGTGACTGGAATGCTTTAAATGGGCTTCTGGAACCAGTGTTACAGTTTAGTTCCATGTAAAAGGCATCCAAGGCTGCTGTATGCCGTGAACCAAAGCACAGTAAGTGGGAGGAATCAGGAGTCCCACTCAAAAATGTGCTTCTTAATCTAAACCGAAACATTAATGTAGATGTACCTTCCATGCTTGAGCTGATCTTAGGGCGCTCAGCTGCCCTTTTGTCATCGGACTGCACCTGGCACATAACTCCATGGCAAAGAGACGTTTTGTGAAATGAGCAGAAAATTGACTCCCTGGTGGAAACAGGAAGGTACTTCTGTGAGTTCACAAGGGGCCAGATGAGCACTGGGGATGTGTAGGAGAGAGCAGAGAGGACAACCTGTTTGACAGCAGATATTTAGATCAGCCTGGGTGTATTGTTAAGCCTGACCATGAAAAACTTGTGAGGAAATTGCAGTGATTCATATGAAAAAAAATGATGGTTTTAAACCAAAAAAGTCAATGTAAGCATTGCATTCCTTGGCAGAAGTTTCTGTCGAAGTCACAAATGTGAAGAATCTTGTTGCTTAATGAAAATTTTGGGTATAGTACTGAAGTCCCAGTCACGTTTTCTGATGCACCACATTTCAAGAAAGAGAAGTGTTAGGAAATTCTTAAATGGTAATCCAAAAAATGTATACTTATTACCTGGTATTTTACGGTATTAATTTATGCATTGGTCATGGCAGTAAATTAATTTTCTTCTATATTTAGTTGTGTGTTTGTCTTATATTATTGAAAGGCTGTTACTTTGTAATATAAAATAATGTTTTGGTCATCTTCATTGCAGTTATGGACTATTGATGAAAAGAAATGGAAACCGGGAAGAGTAGAACATACTGTAGGCTGGCCTTTAGACCGACATACATATGGAGGATCCTTTCTTTATCACTTAAATGAGGGTGAACCTTTAGTTGCTCTTGGATTTGTGGTAAGTGAAGTTGTATTTTTCATGGTTGTTTGTTGTTGTTTGGTCTTCATTTTAATGTAATTTCTTTTCTCTGTTTTAATGTGAAGATGAAAACACAATAGCAGCAGACCAAATTTAGTACTTTCTCAATCTTAAATGTGCTTATGACCTTATTAGGGAAGGTTAATTTGCCATATTAATCTGTCTTTAATCCAGTGTCTTTTATGAAGAACAAGATGGAAAACTTAAAACCAAATTTTTTTGCAAACCAAACAAATTTTGATAAAGCCCAAACCAGATGATTGATCAAAACTGTGCTCACAAAATTTTTGCAAGTTATTAAATGTTTAAATCATGTATGCTTTGTAAATTCCATTTCCTCATTTGTGTGTCAACCTTGGGTGTGACTCCTTGAGAGAAGCACATAAAGTGGAAGCACTCTGTAGTTCCACAAGCAGCATCCCTTCCACTTCTGAGCTCTTCAGTTTGTTCTTAGCATTCTCCTCCCCCGCTTCTCCTTGCCCTCTTTAGTAACTGTCTTTCTGAATTGTACAGGCAGCTTCTTCCCTCTTATTGCCTCTCTATCAGAAGCATTGAGATCACTAGAGACAAAGTCTTGTGTCATTCTGCCAACCAGTGATGCAAGGAGCAATGGTAGGAAATGTTTTTCTAGCACCCACAGTCTAACTGAAGCACACACGATTTGTGCTTTACACGCAGACACAGTAAGAATCAGGCACATGGTCGGGACTTTCAGCAGCATGGGACTGAGGTGACACTCTGGTCTCCTAGATTTCAGAAGGATTCCAGAGTGTGTGGGGGTGAAAACTGTATTTTTGTCTAACTGTTTTGTAAGAAACATTGAAAAAAACTTACTAGCATTTCTCAGACATGCATGCTTGTCCTGTGCAGATTTCCAGTACTGAAATTAATACGTACAGACAGTAAACGTTCAAATTCTGTTTGCTTTTAGAAGGGTAGAGAGCTTTGCTTCTTACTGAGAACGGTAATCAGTAAAGTTCATAGTATCTCCAGTTCAGATAGGAGAGAAACAACTTTGGTCTAAACACACAAGCACTTTTTTGTCGTTGAACTTTACACCTGTGTCAATCTGAGCTGATTTTTCTAGTAGGAATATCTTGCACTTATTCTGAAAATTGTTTATTAACTTTATGTAGCGTGGAAAGTAGATGCAAGCAGTGCTCTAAAAGCCATGAGCTACCAGAGAAATCAAGATAGTGTTTGTTACTGATTCGTGATATATCTTGTTATTTGTCTCAAAGTTTACAGGAACAGGGAATAATCCCTTTCTCAAAAGACAAAATTCAGCAACATAAGTCCTTTTAAGAATATCTTAAAGATTGGAAATGCAAAGTATATCTTTGGACAAATTCTCAAATGCATAAGAAAGCTGAGCATCCAGCCAATTGCCAAAGTGTTTTTCCCACATTTTCTGCTTTCATCATTGCTCCCCTGTGCTTTATTAGGATGGCTCACCTAACTGGAAATGATAATTGACTCTGCTAAAGGCTGTGAAGGACTGGTTAAAATATGTGAGCACAAGGACATAAGTATCTAGAAATAATTGTTTACCTCTCCTTCCAGCTTTTCTAGGGCAAAGACCATTTGAAACACAAATTTAAAACAAGTTTTTTCACTTTTCCTGCCCGTTAAACCACACTTAGTTTAATTTCACTATTTTATTTCAAAGACAGATGGAAGGTGGTTACAATGCAATTAAATATTTTCCGTGCTTCAGCTTTCAGGTAAGGCAGAGAACAATCTTGTAGCAGCAAATTCTCAGATTTGCTTCGACTATACTGTTAATAGAATGTATTTTTGGCAGTAGTTTCTTTAAGTAAAAAGATCCTGAGGCTGGTCTAATATAGAATAGATTTACAGAGTTGATGTGGTAATATGCAATTGTTTTCTTTTCAAACTTTTGTTGAAATTTCATAGTTTATTTTCATTAATATTGCACTTTTCTTTTTTTTAAGGTTGGTTTAGATTATCAAAATCCCTATTTGAATCCATTTAGGGAGTTTCAGAGGTGGAAGCACCATCCTAGCGTACAGCCTACTTTGGAGGGTGGAACAAGGATTGCCTATGGTGCCAGAGCGTTAAATGAAGGTGGTTTCCAGGTAGCTTTTTCATGAAGCTTTTTTACTTTGAGTTCTCTAAAGCTCTGTTTTTATTGCTTTAGATTTGAGTTATGTGCTGTTGGGAAACAACCGAGCTATAATAAAGCTGAATAAATGCCACAAGTTTTACTGGACAGAAAAGCCTTGTTATCTTTCTGGCTGCTGAGATTTGCTAGACTTAGGCCCTGTCATACTAAAACTCTTCTGGCATAATCACTTTACTTTCTAAATGCAATATGAAGTGGAGTTTATGTTGGAATCAAATGTGTTCAGCAGCAAAGAAACTACAGATAAGTTTTTGTTGTGCCTGGAACCCTGGGAAAGAGAGGGTAGCACTACTTACCTGTTGTTTGTTGGTTTTGCTTCTTTTTTTTTTGGGGGGGGGGGGGGCCGGGGGGGGAAGGAGGGAGGAGGCAGCAGGTGGTGTATTTTCCAAACTATGTGTTTATCCTAGCAGAGTTCTCTCCAATTCTTGACCCCTAAGTCAGTGATGGTGCTGAAATGGTTAGGTGACTTGGCAGTTAAAAGTCTTTACTTCCTCAAGTACAGATACCTTTGGTATCTTTCCTGCACAACTTTTAATTTCTACTTTCTTGGGAGGTGGAGTACCTTGTTCGTTTTGTTCCCTGAAAGAGTCTGAGGTGAAATTTTAAAAATGTATTCATCAGTACTTAAGGTCAGTTTAAAGGGCTGGAGCAACTTGCAGGAGAAATAGTCTAGAGTTTATATTTAACATTTAAAGTCCTTTCAACCTGTTAACTTCTCATGTGGGAATCTTGAAACACAGGACATGGCCGTGTGTGCTGGACTCCCAGATCCATCTTCTAGGTGCTCCTTTCAGTTTGGAGCCTAAAACTAGCCTGAGTGTTCATGATCTGCAGCCTGTGTGTGGGGCCATTCCACTCTGCTCTCTAACTGCTGTGTCTTTCCTTTTTGAACCTCATCTCTTTAGTATAAATGTGGCTTCATGCAGTTTTGCAATACAAGTAGAAATTCAGCAGCGGTGTAACTCTTGTCACAGTCTTGTGAAGTTAGGCTCTGACAGCAGTGTGCATGCCTGGGACTGTGTCATGTGGGTTCATGAAGCAACTTCTTGATTACACACAATACACATTTAATCAATCTGTGGTTTGATTACTTTGTCCATTCCGAAGTGGAAATACCACTCTGTCACATGGCTGTGTTACAAGCTTATTTCAGAAACCATTGTCAGTCCATTATTAACACAGATACACAAAATACCAAGACATTTTACTTTAGACTTCTATACAAGAACAGCTTCTCTTTCCACCCCGTGCACTGGTTTCTCTTATCACAGATACTTATTATTGAATTTCTGGCTTTGATAAAGTTAGCCAGATTGTGACTTCAGTTGCATACTCCTTATACTGCTTGAAACATATGGCTGAAAGAACACAGTATTTTTTAAGTCACTTGCAGACATTGTTTGTGCTGAGTTACACACACAGTAGGACTACAGCTCTTGCACACCTCTGCCTGATCTTTGGACTACTTCTTTGCTGGACTAGAAACATGTCACTTAATTTGCACTGTTCCTAATATAAAAGCATGTTTTGATGTTTTTGTATTTTTTTTTTTTATTTCCTGTAGACAGAATTGTCTAGTTAATCATGAAGTCACAGTTTTAAATTACTTTTTTTTTTAAATACATGCTTTCAGTAAAAAAAGCTTTATTGATGATTCACTTAGGAAGACTTTTAAGATTAGCTCTTCTTTTGCATGTGTTGCTTTGATTAATAACTGTAGCAGTCTGACTCATTTGCATCACTGGAGTCCAGGAATATTTTCTTATGTAAGTCATTCTGTAGCTTCAGTTTTTATTTTGGTGACAGTATTGCATCAAATAGATCAGTGGTAATTTTATACATCTAAGCTTTTTTTGTCTGTTACAGATAACGGTATGACCATGTCCTTTAGTCGTTAACATATAGTCATGCTAAGTTGGTGTGAGAGAGAGTGCACTCTTGGATGTTTCCTTGATTTTTGTAGTTTTTTGGGGTATGTAAAAGGTGGGAACAGAGTTTAATAGATTACATCTACACAGCTATTATTTCTTTTGTTTATTAAAATTGCAAAATCAAGCACTTAACAGAGGTTGCATGGGAATTTCTTAATTTTTTGTCTCCATTTCATCTAAAAGTTTGAAAAGGTTTGAGTTTTATGGAAAAAGTAAAAGGTGTTCCTGTTGCTGAGCAATGTATATTATGAGTATGAGGGGAAAAAGCCCCTGATATTGATGACCCATGCAAGTATCAAACATTAGACTCACTTAACAGCTTTTCAGCCCTGAGCTGAGCTAAGGAGAGGAGAATGTGGGTTTCCCTGTGTGCTGATGGGGAGGACTCTACAGGGAGCCAGTGTCTCCCCTTCTTCCCTCCTCCAGACCAGCCTTGTTTTGTCTCTGCTGCCAAGAGGGTGGTGGCTTCTCCAAGGGCTCAAGACTGAAAGGATTTCACCCTCCATCTCAGGGGCAGGGAGGGCTTGTGCCATATTGGCATGCTGTGTTTCTTCAGCCGACTGAAAACAGGCACCAGGTTCCATCCTACTAATAATGAGAATTACTGACAAAGCTGCAGTACATCTATCTTTTTGTGTTATGTGACTAATCTTTAATCTCATTTATACTTTGACAGTATGTTGGTCACTATGTACCTATTAAGCGAAACAGTTGTTGCAGAAGAAAAGTGCTTGATCGCCATATTTTTATGTAAATCAAAGAGTCAGTCAAGAACTTTTCTGTGTTTGTCAGTGCTGCATCACTGTGTTCTAATAGATATGTCAGAATAAATGTTTTCAGCCAAAGGTCTTGTGAAAAGAGAAGATATCCTACATACCTTATTCCTTCGAAATACTGTTATGTAGCTGAACTTACAACTTCTGGTCACTGAAAAGTAAGTTAAAATTTGTAGTTGTGTATTCAGCCTAAATTACCTTTCCTGTGAACCAAATCACTAAGTCTGTAATGAAACAAATTGCCCGAAACACAGGGGAAGTGCTGGGCAGTACAGCTTTTTTTTAGTGACTGCTATATGAATACCCAAAAGTAACCAGCCCTGGGTGAACAGTAACAATTGAACAAGCAGAAGAAACAAAACATTTGTTTCAGATTATCCTGAATTCCAAGGGATATGTTTTTTTGACATTTTTCATTGAAGTACTGCTTTGGGGTCAAGGTATTTAGGCTATTAAAAAATTAATTCTTTCAGGCAGCTTTAATAAAAGCAGGATGCTAGATTTGCAAGTGCTGCTCGGTACTTTTGGGGGAAGGCTATGTTCATAACTGACCTTCAGCAATTTCAGACCTAGGATATGGTCACAGCTTTCTGCTCAAAGTGCTGCAGTCAATTTCTTAGTTAACATAGGTGTATAGCATAGTTTATTAATGCTATAGACCTCATGTTTGCAAATCATCTGGCTGTTTCAGTTTTGTGAGTTGACTGTGCTCAGTGACATTAGGCTTCTTACAGAACGGGAGTAAGACAATGATTTTGCACCAAAAATACCTTTGACTTTTGAGGAGCTTCTAAAATAAGTGAGACCTGAGTGGGGATGGGGAGGGCACTGTGCAGTTTCACAGAAAAGATTTGTGGTAAAAAGCACAGAGTAATAAACTGTCAGATGAGAGGTATACAACTTACTGTGTGGAAAACAGGAACACAAATGTCTTTTTTTTTTTTTTTTTTTAATAATTCACTTAAACTGGAAGGAGGAAAATGGTATTGGTGGGTGACATTACCCTAGTCTCGTTGCAGATAAAGCAACTGGAGAGGAGATATAAGGAAAATGTTGTCTTATTATTTCATACTCAGCCCCAGTAAAATGTCTGTATCCTTATTTGCTTACTATGCCAAAATTCCTTGATTAAGTGGAGTAACCCTGGTGTATTTTTAGATACTGCACATGCAAGTCTAAAAATGTAAAGGACAATCATTTATTAAAAAAAAAAAAGGCAAGAACAAACAAATGACCTTTCTTTCTTTTTCCTTTTCAGTCAATACCCAAACTCACGTTCCCAGGAGGATTATTAATTGGTTGCAGTCCTGGACTCATGAATGTTCCTAAGATCAAAGGGACACATACTGCGATGAAAAGTGGCATGTTGGCCTCAGAGGCCATCTTTAGCCAATTAATCAATGAAAATCTTCAATCAAAGACCATAGGTAAGATCACTACTTGGATTCGTCCTTACCTTGTGTTACATTAGAATCACCAACCACTTAGCAGTAACTAAATGTATCTGAAGGAATTAGTTGGAAATGCAGATAAATCATTAAATGAGTGTGGTGGTTTAAAGAGATATCTATTGTTTATTTACTATTTATACTGTCAAATGGTTTAGGAAAGGAAGAAATTAATAAAGTTTTGCTTAGTTATTCTTAAGTATCGATCCTACTGCCAGAACAAAAATAGGCCTCTAGCAAGCATCTGAGAAGCTTACTCTTCCTGTGTAAGTAAACAAGAATAGTACATATTTTGTTCCTACAGATATGTTAAAAATTAGCACTTTATGATTCAAAAAGTCTTGCTGAAAGACTGCAGAAGCAGTGAGAAAAAATAAAGGAACAGATTAAATGTAAGCAAAACAGGGTGAGACTTTTAAAGTTTGCTCTTCACCGTTAATTATACACGTTGTCCTTCTTTTGTCCTTTTATTCAAAAGGGTACTTTTGTCCTTCAGTCCTCTTTTTCTGTCTTTAATTTTAGTCTTTTCAGTTTGAGACTACATGCATTTCCTATTATATGTACTGCAGGCACACTGAAGTAATCACCTGACCCTGACCGCATTGTAGTGATTTATGTGAGCCTTGGTTGTTTCCTTAAATACGTTAACAAAGACTGTACAGAGAGAGAACCCAAATAGAATTTCAGCCATCATCGAGATGGACACTACAGCCAGTGCCACATGATGATTATTTTAGAAATATCTTCTCTGTAGTGGTGGATTCAGTCCTAGTTCAGCTGGAACAGGCAATACACGTTGCCACAGAGGGTATGCTGAACAATTAACACTTCAGCTAGTGTAGCAGGTTAAAATGCATAGAACCCATCTGAAACAGTAAAACACACTTACAGGGTAGTGTGCCACTCTTGTTTCATTATGGACAGGCTTTATATGCTCTTTCCAGTTTTGTCAAGACAGTAGAATATTACAGCACACTTTCTTCTCTGTACATAGATAACAAGCTTTTTCCAGATACTTGCGCGAGACAGAAAATACGGACTGAGGCATGTTTTCATGTACTGACAAGGCTTAAAACTTACTATGTAGAACATTTATTTCTACACATTAGTGATGGAGAATGTCAAAGAGGAAGCTCCTTGAAACTTTTAATTTGAAGAAACATATTTTTTCTAAAATAATTACTTGGCTTTAACTACACTGCAGATGTGTCAGGTGTCAAATGTGCTGTTTGCAGTGTCCAGTATTTGTAAAGGATATCATCAAAAATTTTAGATCAGAAGTTTGTAGTCAAATATATCTTATTGACTTGCTGATTACAAAGGAAGAAAAAAAAGTTCTCTAGCACTGGCATCACCCATTGGGCCATAGTCATGGTTACTGAAATCGGAATGTTGCTGGCTGCATAACTGGCAAAGAAAAAGCTTTTGAAGGTTAAAATTACAAACCTGGCTCTTGGATCACAGGTAAACTCTCCTGGTCAGCTCTTGGATTCCATGAACGAGTAGCTGCTTTCCCATAGAGGTGTTAATATAGCCACCTGGCCAGTTATCTTTATATTTTGCTGAGATCTGAGGCAATTTAATGCTGCTTGTGGGTCGTTTAATAGACACGGCAAAGGAGCAGTAGATATCTGCTAACTGCCAACAAAATAGATCTCTTCAAGAGGCTGACATATGTTGTCTAGTATATTCCTAGCTTACTATTCTGAAATTCTCATTTTGCTGCCTTTGTTGCTAACAATTGTCTTTATTCAGCAATTATTTTTTTATTTCAAGGATAGTCTTTATGTACTGTAGGTACCTAACAAGTCATGTACTGCCTTAGGACTTGATGTGCAAGAATATGAAGAGAACCTGAAAAAGTCCTGGGTCTGGAAAGAGCTGTATGCGGTTAGAAACATCCGACCGTCCTGCCACAGCATACTTGGTGTGTACGGAGGAATGATTTACACGGGTATATTTTATTGGCTACTGAGAGGAATGGAACCATGGACATTAAAACATCCAGGTAATTTCATTATCTCCTGAAAGAAGATACTAAGTGTATATGTCAGTCTTTTCTGGTCTTAGCTGAAGCTAGAGCACATCTGGTCAAGCGGTAAGGCCTTAAAGCATAGCAGAGAAATTGATGATAAGGCATTGAAGCAGACTTTGTCATGCTACTGGGCATATAATGTAAATGAAGACATTAAAACACTGTTCTATGTAGCATGTTTTTTTGTCTCACGAAAAGACTACCTTTTATGAAATACTGCGTTCTGATGACAAGGGAAGTTAAAATAGATGAATTAAATTGTTCTTGAGTAACTGCAAATTACAGTCATTCTCTAATGAAACTTACGTATTAAAAAATATATTTAGGACCAGATTTTGCTCAGCTCAAGCCAGCCAAAGATTGCACGCCTATTGAATACCCAAAGCCTGATGGAAAAATCAGTTTTGATCTCCTGTCTTCTGTGGCTTTAAGTGGTACAAACCATGAACACGACCAGCCCGCTCATTTAACTCTCAAAGATGACAGCATCCCAGTGAGCAGGAATCTGGCTGTATTTGATGGACCAGAACAAAGATTTTGTCCAGCAGGTAGGTAATAAAAATATGTGTCCGAGTCTTTCATCTTGTAAAAACAGGAAGAGGCTACCTAGCCTACGACTCACTTCAAGCATTCTATCCAAATCCTCCTCCTAGAAGACAGTTCAAGTATAAGTCTTAAAATATTTTATGTTAACGGCACTTTCATGACAAAATCTTTAGTACACATGGAAGAAGGCAGTTGAGCCACCCTAGTAATACGCTTCCCTCGTTATGCTTGCTGGTAAGTAGTAGAGCATACGTGCAGGGGGAAACTGTTTGGTGAAGTGATAGCTTTCTTTTGCTCTTTGCAGGAGTTTATGAATATATTCCTCTGGAAACAGGAGAAGGATCAAGACTGCAGATAAATGCTCAGAACTGTGTCCACTGCAAAACATGTGATATTAAAGACCCAAGTCAGAACATTAACTGGGTAGTGCCTGAAGGTGGAGGAGGACCAGCTTATAATGGGATGTGAACTGATGGGAAATCTATTCAGGGACTTTATGATCACCAACAACTAAGTTGGAGTATTTTATGCTGCAGTGTAATTACAGCACTGACATGAATGTTAAAGTTTGAGACTAATGTGCCATTCTCAATTTTAGGTATGACTGTTGCATTAAATGGGAAGTCGGTGCCTTCTGGTTAAGCCATAGCCTTATTTAAATAGGACTTCTTTACAGGAGATATGTGGCAGGCATAAGAAAGTTCTTCTCAGGACTGACAAAGGAACTTTGGATCTTGGATTTATTGCTGAAGTTCAGTGATAACAGGAGCCATATCCAGAATCATGGGTATGGTGGAAGAATTTAGCACCCTTAAAAACAAAAAAAAAAGTATTTTCCCTCTCTATCTGGAGTGATTTATACATGTAATAATCCTACCTTGCTGTAGGGAAAATATATCAGTCTAGAAAACTGTCACTACTTCTAAGTATTACATATTTTACACTCAATCTACAGTTAGATTTTTTTTTTTTTTCCTGTGGTAATAGGGAGCCCATCTGCAATACAACCTATAAAGAGTTTTAAAAAAGAAAAAGTGTAATACTTGCCCCTTCAGTGTATGTCGACCAGTATTTCTATTCCTTACAAGAAATCAGGCCTGCTTTAATAAAAACTCTAATAGAAACTGCCTAAATTGTCTTGGTGTGAAACCAGGCGTCTTAGGAAGCGCTAAGTCTTAAGCTGCAAAAACACCACTACTGATTTATACATTAGAAACACACCTGAGTTGCAAAACAAAAGTTATTACAGCTTAAAAAAAAAAAAAAAAAGAAAACCATTTCACCTTTGAACAGTTTGTCTTTATTATTAGACTTCTGAGTTGTAAACACTGAAAACTGCAGTACAGGGCAAATGAAAGAAGCAGCTCCACTTATCCTTTTGCATGAGTTAGTGCATAGATTTAAAAGTTTAGAAAAAAAAAAAATCAAGCAAACATTTTAGCATAAGCTGCCTTCTCTTTCTCCTTTTGGGCTTTTATCTTCTGCTTGATTTTGAGTGTTTCCGTCTGGATAGCTGCTTAAAAAGAAAATCCATGATACAGTTATAGTAATCTCTTTACATTAGGTCTCCTAACATGTAAAGACCAGGTCACACTGCTGCAACTTATCCATTTCATTTAATAGAACTGTATTTAATTTTCTATTAGGTCAGATACTAGCAGCAACAACCCCATGTCCCTTAATTTGTTTCACCTGGTAAGGTAACCAGTTAGAGGGGGGTGTAGCAAGCACAGTATTGGTGCCAATACATGATTTATGAGCTAAAAATCTTCCCCACTTAGACCAACAAATTAAGGAAGTTGGTAAGACCCCTATGCCATATGGGGGATGGCTCAAGAGGCGTGCTGTTGACCTACATCAGCAGGATTCTCAGCGCAAGAGAAGCATCACTGCTGTGTAAAAACAGGCTTTCCACCTCAGTGGGCTCTGTGCTCAATATGCCGGTGTTTAAGCGTTAGAACTAGCATTTTAGGCATCCCACTGGTACGATTTCCTAGTCAGTACTACCCTGGTTACATTGTTACATTCTTTAAAACAAGTAAATAAACTCTAAACCAACTTTTATTTTACCTTTGTCTTCAGGGGCTATTTCATGAGCCTTTTTAAGATCAGCCTTAAATAAAAGAGAAATATAAATTAATTTTCTGATTATGTGTTTAGATTAAAAAAAAAAAAATTAAATATTGTGTTTGTTACCAATGCTTGATCGAGATCTTTTATTCCCTGCCATCCTTGAGCCCGTCTGTAGAGAGCTTTAGTGTTTGCTGGATCTATTTTAAGAGCCTGTAAATTTAATAAAATTGTCACATTAACATTTCATATACTTCACAGCCTCCCATCTCTGCAAATGGCACAGTTCACACCAGCAGACAATCTCCCCAGTTGGTTTCAGGGTAAGCTGTCAAAACATTAACTGTGTAAAAAGGAATGCTATAATGTAGCACACTGAATAGCTAGCTAATCAGTTTTAATATCGCTGCAGCAGAAGTCTTTTGTGAAGGATGAGCATAGGTGAGGATAAAATGGAACCTGTGTGTGTATGTATCTGTCAAGGCAAAGGTGTTACTGCAGTTCAAATTATCCTAACCTCGAGTCTCATGGTACAACTCTCTATATTGCAGCTCTTTCCTTCACACCAAAAAAGCCTCAAATGGGTGTCATAAAGAAAGCACATATTTCCTGTAAAGCTGTTTTCACGGTAGGCTAGAAAGATACATCCAAGCAATCCATCTCATGCTTCGGGAACCTTGCCAAGTTCCAGTCATTACACTTTTTTTGTGCTGAATGGTCTCACTAAAGTGTATATGCCAGCTCTAATATGACAATATCAAAACAGGAATTACAGTAGCTGAGTAAAAAGCTTGTTCCACTAATTGATTACTTAAATTATTTTTCCAAAGTACCTCAGTTAATTTGGCTAGCTAGCTGTTTTGTTTTCTTGCCTTGAATATCACATTCTCTTTTCTTATTGCAGATAGTTCTCTGTGTCTTTTTAAAAATTATTTTAAAGACTACAGTTTCCTAGTGATTGGAGGAAATCTCTGCGTGAATGTGTGGCTTTATTAACTTGAAATCATTAGGTAAGAATTATAGACATTAGATGATGCATCCAGATTTTTTTGTAAATCACTTCAGTATTGTCTGTTAATACAAAGGAAGTATTATTCTAGGCACTCATCCTGATCTGTCTGCTATAAAACCTAGAGCCTCTTCTGTTGTCAAGAACTAGAAAATTAGGTGTCTGTATTGTGTATGCATAGGTAGCATTCCTTGTTTTTTTTTAGCTCAGCCACTGTGCTTACAGCTATTTTAAAGCAAGGTTTGTTTGCACAGCTTCAGCCATTTGTAATTCTTTATTTACACCAAATAATGCACATACTACAGACTGTTAATTTAAATCACTTGTGCCCTTAGGGAATCCTAGAAGGGAAAGTATCTAGTTTATCATTAACAATTACCTTAAACTCTACTAGTTAATCTTAGGAAACTGGTGTTCAGATTAAAATGCAGATATACCATTTAACACTTTGTTATAAGATGTGAGTTAAATACCTTATGGAAGTCTATTATAGCTCTGGAGTTGCCTTTATCTAATGATGCTGTAATCTTAAAAAAAAGGAAGTGTTGGGGGTTTTTTCCACAATGGCAAGTATTATGATTAATAATTTCTATCTGTAACATGCTGTTTCAATTTTTATTATTTGCTAGATGACAAATATCACATTATAGTGTTTTTTCTTTCCTCATTCCCCATTTGTCCCTTATGAATACAGGTTTATGAAAGTTTTCCATGTGGTAATACCATCAGCAGGCTAGAAAGCAAGCCAGCTCTCTAAAGACCCCTCACACACAGATTAGCCGAGATTCCTGCTTTCAGCACAAAGCCCTAGGAGATAGTGCTCAGGATCCTCTGCTAACAGATAAGAGCATTCCTTATTCTGTTTCCTTCAAAATTCAGAGTTTTACTGAATTATTTAAAGTTTCTTCAAATGTACTAAATTCTGCCACCATGTCACTGTTTCTTTTTTTTTTCTTTAATGCTATTACTTTTCAGTATTTCCACATGTATTGTTTCCTTCTTCCTTTCTTCCTATTCAGTGGTTTCATTTCACCTCTAAGACTACCTGAAAGGGCTTTGGTTAGAAAAGTAATTTCAATTAAGAAAATACAAGACCATCAAATCTAAAAGCAAGTAAAACGTTTTGCTCATAGTAGTCTTCAAATTATTCCTCTTTCACTGAAGACAGTTTAACTCTTTGTAATACAAAAATTAGCTCTGCAAACCAAACTGACAATGACAGCGTGCACTTTTTCTGGCAGTATGCAGCAGCCCTCTTTTGCTTGTTTCTAATGAGTCATTTCAATTTCAAAAACTTTATAAAAAGCCACATACTGGAAAGTTATTACTAACTTCACAATCAGCCTTCTACTTTGTTTATTTTCAAATCACAAGCTTGTCAGAAGACTGTTTAAAATGCTTTGTAGTTTCAGTCTCCATTTTCTACACAGGCCAATTGTTCATCAAAATACTAAAAGTTAAATTTACCTCAGAACAACTTTCAATGGCTCCTTGCCAATCTGACAGTTTTAGTTTACAAGCGCCGATGTTTAAAACACAGGTCAAAGCAACAGTCTTTAACTTTGGTTTGTCTGCCTCCTCTGCCACTGCTTCAGAAGCTTCTACATACCTGCAGAAAAACAGATTTACAAAGAACATGCATTGGTGTTGCACCTTCCATCTTGTTCTGCCCTTAGCTATCTTTCCACAGCTATGTGTGAACTGGCCTATCCAAACTGGTATTTTTAAAGCAGCTTCAATTTCACTACTACAAATATTTACCAAAATAAATACATAAGGTCTACCCTGACAAAAAATATGAACTCACTGGTGAATGTGCTCCTATAACTCCTAGTCCTTCGCCATACTAACAGCATTCTTTTTCTTAGACAAATGCATTATTCTAGATGGCATGAAACCATTAGAATTTATCTCAATGACTGCTTATTCTCAAAAAATGTGTTGCTCATCAGTGGCAAAAAGTCAGCACCACCACTGCACCTTCCACATTCACTGGCAGCTTCATCTCTTCCTCTGTTCCCTCAATAATATTTTAATTAGTTTAGGCATTTATGGCTAAAAGCTGAAGGTAACTTTTACTTTGTAAAGGACGGTGGTTTATGAGCATTGGTAACTCCACCTTCTTTCCACTGTCTTCCCTCATGACTTTTCTCTGAACTTCAAAACTGGCACTGGTTTGGGACTAAGCCACATCATTTACTGCATCCCCATTTCTCAGGCAAACTGTATCTCCTTAATTTACAGTGTGCTAATGCTGTCAGTTTTTTATTTCAAGTGGCAAAGGTGTGTTGCAGATGTAAAAGTTCTAACTCCTTTAATGGCCTACTTGATAGAACTTCTGTGGGTTTTATTTAAAAAATAAAAATCATGTGTTTGTATATCTTCACGTTTTAAGGACGCCATGATTAATGCCATCTTTGGAGATCAGTGCCTATGTAAGTACAATTTTTGCATGCCTTATCTTTTGAGTGTTGCATGGTTTGTATACAACTTTGGACCAAAGAAATAAGCAATACGTAAAAAGTAAATTAGACATCATCCCAGTGATTCTTCCACTTTCTGGGGATCATGCAAAAAATGAGACCCAGAAGAGAGAGAGAAAAGGGTAAGAAGCTAAGGAGAGTTATAATACAAAACTGTGCTATATTCAAAACAAGCAGAATACACCTAGAATATTTATAAATCACACCAAAACATGAAAGACTGCAACCATTCAGGAACCAAAATTAGGGCTTCCAAGTCAAATCAGGAAGATGAACATCAAGGGAGACAATAGGAAGTAATACATTTTCTGACAAAAAGTCAATTCTTACATATAAAATAAATTTTAAAGAACTGGTTAAGGAGCAGTAAGACAAGAAAAAGAACAGAAGGTTATAATGGTTGCTGTTGGTAAAGAGAAGAGAAAAAAAAAAAGCACTGCCAGGTGATTTGCTAGGTGAGTTGTACATAAGACATGGGAGATACCCTGGTAAGAGCTATTCTGTTCCTATCAGTTCTGGCAAAGTGCCAGCTGAAATACATCATCCTATGTAAAGTACTAGATTT